ACTTTAAAGACAAACTGCCCCAAAATAGGCAGAGCAAAAAGTAAGATCTGAGAGGAGATACAGTGTGCGTGTAAAAGCCAAGACGCCTGACGAAAAATAATCACTTTGCGTAAACAAGATGCTACGAGATATGTGAATGATGTCGTTGGGAAGAAGACATAGAGTGCTTTGTAAAGCACTCCACAGCAATAGAAAAAGTATCTATTCTGGAGCTGTCGACCGAAGGATTTCACCGAAAAACCAATGGCGCGGCAGCTGATTTGTTTACAAATGGCGGTTAACGTGCATAAATACATTTTGAACGCGTTAAACAAGGAATAAGCCGGTCAACATTGTACGCTAAACATCTTCAAGGAAAGAACGCAGTAGCCAACTGGCCCAAGTCCGAAACTCGTAAAAGTCGAAACTCCTAGTAAAGTGAACATGGTAGGCAAGGAATAAACGGCAATTTTGATATTCCTTATGTTTTTTACTGCGAAAGTTCGCTATAGAGGATGTAGTGCACTGATAACCGTAAACCTTTAAAATTAATAAAACAGCAGTTAAAATAAGTAAGCGGTTTACTCTCCCATTACGGCAAATGGTGGAAGAGGGCACATTAAGCTATGGGAATTCTTGTCATTTATAACGTTTCCAAAAACCAATTGACCCTCTGGTTAATAGTAGTCAGCTGTTATGCATCTTGAATATGTGATTTCACTCAAGGGGTATTAGTGCACCATTCCTCTGTCCTCTGTGAGATAACTGCACCTAAGTCAATCTGCCTCGCGTTTAACAGGAATATAATAGATGGGATTCGCAAGCATGGCGCGGCAATACGTAACATTACGCCGCAAGATATTACAAAAATTTACAGTACACTGCAACATGCAAATTATATGTTTAAAAACTGTGGCCACCAAATTTCGAACTTACCATAAAACTCAAAAATTGAAATATTGGCTGCGATGAAAAATCATATTGCGCGAATAAATGTTCAGCAATAGATTATTTAGGCGTTCATGTGCGTTTATAAGCAAAACAGGAGTGGTTTTCAGTAGGGGTTGGATCATCTATTTTGACCTCTGCGGAATTTCTACATTCATTTTAACTATTTGATGGACGTTAACTCGAAATTTATACTGCACAGCGTGTAGGCGGTGCGTATATATAAGGTGTTGCGGAGCAGATTAAGCGCTGTGATCGCCAAATGGTATGTAAATAAAGCGAATTTCAACACATTTCCATAGTTTCTTCTGGGGTCGAGTGATCGTAGGGCACAGTTTTTGAGTACTCAGAGCCTATTCTCCAAAAATGTGAGTAGTATGCTTGGTCTTCTTACGCCAGTCAAGTCAAAAGAGGGAATTCCCCCTCTCTGGCGTTGCGCATAGTAATTTTTGTTAAAAGTGTGTAAAGACTTGCATGCGAATTTTCGTAGATCAAAAGTAGTCGATGTGGATAACAACAATACCACCTCTCCTATAGCAACGTGATAAGAAAGTAAAATTGTCGTGAAAACTAGAAATGTTAGATAAAATGCCCAAGTCAGCGAAATATGGGGCCCAACAGACCCTACGCGTAAGGGATGGATTCAGGGATAGGATAATGTGCGTGGTTGCGAGAATGTCTGATTTGAAAGAGGTTATTTGCAAATAAGGACTAAATTACTGATCTCGATCGGCGGCAATAGGTTAGTGAACATTGTAATGAGAAATCCAGTACCCCAAAAAGCGCCAGTAAGATTATCTATAAATGTATCTGGGATGAGTGTTGCGACAGACCTTTGCATAAAACAGTCATTTCAGCGACAAACAATTAGAGGCTTCAACAAGAAGGGAGAACTCGTCATCCATAAGAGAATTAGGAATGGGCTATTGTATTTGCGACCCACTTCAGCCGCTCCACGACCGTCAGAAAAATAAAATTACTTATTGTTACCGTGTATACAAATAGTGTCAGTTAATGGCGACTGAGCGCTCTGAACAACAAAATATTTACGAAAATTTCCTAGGCTCACAGAACTGCGCCATTTCCGGGAAGAAATCGAAGTAGAAAACTCGCGTATAACTGAATCGTTTTTGCATATGAGACGATTCCCAAAAGGATGTACGCCGTGCCATAGGAACAAGAGGGTGGGAACGCTAGAAAAGCATTTTTAAGCGCTGATGAAATCTCCAACTTGGTTAACTAGCTCACAATGGAGACGTCGGTGTGCTGTTCACTGGAACTCCTAACCAGAAGATCATCAGCATAAAGACGAACGAATGATAGGTCGCGGCGTATTTCGTTGATGAAATATTCAAATGTTTGAGCAGAGTAGCAATGGTCAGAATTCATCCTGATGAGACTAAAGAAAGCGAATCGTATCCTAAAAGTCATTCCGTCAGCCTTTTCGGAGCAACGGGGACCTGATAAAAGACTATCTAATTCATGGGAAAAAATCGTTGTGCCAGACAAGGTAGAAGAAAAATCACGAAGGAAAGGGAGCGGATATTTACAATTATTCAATCGCTGGTAACCACCACACGGACGCCAGTTACTAAGCGACTTTTTGCAAAGCACATGCAGAGGAGAGCCTACGAACTAAAGGAGTGTCACCTATGCCCAACTTTCCCCTATGAATGAATTCAGCCTTGGCGAGGATTAATTGATCGGTGGCTAAAGAGAGATGGCCTGGTAGTTGAAGTTTAATTCATGACAGAATGTTTATCTAGCTGATAAACCTTTGAAGACCGGTTGATATGTGGGCACTTGGGGAAAATTATAATGAGGAGTGGTGTTTATGGCATATGCAATGAAACGACAAGAATTGGACGTCGTAACCGTCAGCAATTGTGGACACTCTCTGAAGATGAACAGCTTGTCCTTGCGGTTGATTGCAAGTTGGTTTTCGTGCAGTCTTGTACCGAGGCGTTTGCCCGTTTCACCAACATACCTCGAATTGCAATTTAGGCATGGTATGCTGCAGACCACCGCCGACTGTTCTGTTGTTGGTAGCGGGTCTTTGGGCTTCATGATTTGCTGTCTGATGGTGCATTCTGGTTCACAAGTCACGCGAAGCTGAATGCTGCTCACCCGAACAGCAACGACCATTCAGGCCACCGGCTGACGTGGGAGGGGCCAAGCGGCACGTTGATTTGACTACAATTACGCCGACCCCAAAGGGAAAAAAGGTCACACAGACCTGTCAGCGGTCAGCCCCGGGGAGGTCTGAGCCAGTCAGCGGCAAACAGGCAGGTCAAAGTTCGTGCGTCGAGCACGGCTATAATACGGGGCTAGCGGCAAGACTGAGCAAATCAAGACTGGCAGGTGCAACAAGTACGCTACTCTGATGATGGAAACGAGGAAGTTTCCGAAACGTCAGCTCGAACACAACATGGTACATGAATTAGGCCTCTCTTCTTCTTCGTCTTCTTCGGGAGATGATGAACGCGATATATATATATATATATATATATATATATATATATATGCGAGGGGTTCGGCTCTTCAGTGGGACCCCCAGCGTTCTCTAGCGGTTTCCGGTATATGAACTCCAGAGAATAATCAGGTGAATAATTTCAGAAATTAATCAGTGCAGAACTTGGAGTTAAATCTCCGGGACATGACGTTTTAGGGCATTACGTGGTTATTCCACAGTAGTTGATTGTCTTCGACTCAAATATTCATTGAAATTTCGGTTCTGACCCTAAAAAGTCATGTCCCGGATATTTAACTCCAAGTACTGCACTGATTAATTTCTGAAATTATTCACCTGATTATTCTCTGGAGTTCATATACCGGAAACCGCTAGAGAACGCTGGGGGTCCCACTGAAGAGCCGAACCCCTCGCAGCTGTGTCACGCAGCGGCAGAATATCGGCGAAACACGTGTCTGGGCTTTTAGCAAGTATCTAGGTCGGGAGTACGGTATAATACCTTTACCATATGGAATTCATACTACTCGTAGTACTACTTGTTTGTAGAATGGGCATTACGTGGTTATTCCACAGTAGTTGATTGTCTTCGACTCAAATGTTCGTTGAACTTTCGGTTCTGACCCTAAAAAGTCATGTCCCGGAGATTTAACTCCAAGTTCTGCACTGATTAATTTCTGAAATTATTCACCTGATATATATATATATATATATATATATATATAAGAAGAAGAAGAAGAAGAGGCGATATATATATGCATGTCAAGTGGGCGTTTGACTCTCTCTGTTGTGTTAGGATCTCACTCGATCCCATTCTGTCCGTCCGCCAGCTTGCTACTGGAGACAACGAACGCTGTGTCATAGGACACATACCACATATGTGGTATCAAGTGAATAATTTCAGAAATTACTCAGTGCAAGACTTGGAGTTAAATCTCCGGGACATGAATTTTTAGGGTCTGAACCGAAATTTCAATGAATCTTCCAGTCGAAGATAATCAACTACTGTGGAATAACCACGTAATGCCCATTTTACAAACAAGTAGCGCCACGGGTAGTATTAAATCCGTACTCTTCCTTGCCAATGGATATCCACGCAGTTTTGTAAACAAATGCTTGTATCGAAGACACACGAAAACTGACGGTGAAAAGAAACAAAGATCAGAAATCTTCCGTGTTTTACCTTACGTGAGTAACGTCCCCGAAGCCACTGAGCGCATGCTAAGACCACTAAGAGTGGCCGTTGGACACCGGCCGGAGGCCACCGTCCGCTGCTTAATCATGCAGCCCAAGGGCCGTCTACCACCCACAGACACGTCAGGCGTCATTTAACGCGTCAAATGTCTAGACTTTCTAGTGATCCGGTTTACAACCTCTCGTCTCGTTGCCTCACACGGCAACAGCTGAAGGTTTATCACATGACACTAAGTTCAACACAAGAGATGCTCGATCGGAAGATTTCATCGCATCCTTCGAGTCGGCCCTCCAGAAGTGTGAAGCGGACGAAGAGTACAAAAATTCCATGCGACAACAATTTTCAACTGTTCTCCTCCAGCACAAACCTTAAAGGGTGATTTCCGAAACAGAAGACCGATAACTTCTGAGAATGCGGAAGATGAGGGATATCGTCACCCTGCCCGCCGACAAGGGACGCTCGACGGTTGTCATGGACAAGATCGAGTACACGGCGAAATCGGAAGGTCTGTTGGAGGTCGAAGTTGCCTATAAGCTGTCGGAGACTGGAGAGTTCAAGAAGCACGTGAACAGTGTAAACAAGGCGATAGACAAGTTAAGGAAGGCAGGAGCCCTCAAGAGGCAGGAAGCACTGGCCGCAAAAGCCACCGATGCCGCCATGGCGCGCTTCTACGGTCTGCCAAAAGTGCCTAAATCGGGAGTACCTCTACGCCCCATAGTCTCCTTACGCGGCACCCCGAACTTTGGACTGTCAAAGTGGCTTGACCAACGATTCCGTTTCCTGACCGAGGATTCCGAAGGGCCGGTGGAATCGATTGGACAGTTTTTGAGGAGTATCAGGCAGCTTGAATTAGAACCAGACGAGATGATGATATTGTTTGATGTGGTCTCCTTATTCACCTCCATTACAACCGACCTTGCTATCAGCACCATTGACGAGCTTCTTCAGGAGAAGTATGATGAAACTGATCAACGGCTTAAACAAACGCACGTCATCGGACTCCTGGAATTGGGTCTCAGAACTTTCTTCACTTTCACTTACGAGCAAAAGAAGGGAACAACGATGGGCTGCCTGCTGTCTGGACTGATTGCGGAGGCTGTTCTGCAGAGGCTCGAGCGACTGGTCTTCCGTTCGTACTCCCCAAAATTCTGGGCCAGTTATATCGACGACACATTTGTCGTAATCAAAAGGAACGACGGTCAGGACTTCAAGGTCTTGTTGAACTCAATATTCCTCGACACCAAATTTACAATGGAAGAGGAGAACAACAACCAGTTGCGCTTCCTTGACGTAAACTTCACAAGGATGGCTAATGGGGGGATCAGGAATATGGTATAGCAAAAGGCAAAGAATACTAGACGCATCCTCCAATTCCGGAGTAACCCCCCCATCGGTCACAAACGCAGTTGTGTCAGAGCTCTTTTCCAACGAGTTCAAACAGACTGTAATGACAACGGCGGCAGAAGGGAGGAAGCAAAATAACTACATTCCCTATTCGCAGCCAATGGTTACCCACGATCCTTCATACGTGGGTACCGAAGAAGAATCAACTGCGAACGATCTAACGATAAGAAGCCGAAGTTGTGGCTCGGAATCCCCTACATGAGGAATGTTTCTGAGGGGACAGCAAGAATCCTGGGTCATTTTGGGATTGCGGTGGCCCATAAACCGGAATCCACTATCAGGCAGCAGATAATGAGGCCCAAAAACCAACTACCTGCAACGGAACAATTATCAGTGCTCTACAGCATACCTTGCCGGTATTGCAGCGCGAGATATGTCGGTGAAATGGGCAAACGCCTCTGCACGAGATTGCAAGAGTACCAGCTTGCAGTCAACCGCGAGGATAAGCTGTCAGCGGTATATGACCACATACAACAGGAGAAACGCAGTTTCGCCTTTGGGGAGGCGAGCGTCATCGTCCGAGCCAGCGACAAAATGGCCTGACTGGTTCTCGAAAGTTGGTCCTCAGTTGACACAATCAACAGAGCCATTGATCTTCATCCGACCTACCAGGCGCTACGTACGAGGCTCCAGTCAGTTCAGACGGGGCCGACAGCACTGGAGAGCGGGTAGCGGCTCCTCCAACAGTTGTCACCTTCACAGCAGGGTGAGAGAGCCAGCCGGGGGTCAGACGATCGACGCGAGACATCGACTCACCGACGCGCCCAAACATCCGATTGCGATTCCCACACGCAACGGCAGCTGATCAGCTCGTCATATTATGGGGGAGGGCCCATGGGCACACGGATCTAGCCACGACAACGGAGGCCGGGCAGGGGCAGAGGTCACACGAGCAGCCCAGCGGTCGGCTACGGAGGGACCAAAGTCAATCCCCTGCCAGCAGGCAGGTCAGAGTTCGTGTATCAGGCATGCCTATAACACGAGGCAGGCGGCGAGACAGAACAACTCTGAGCTAGCAGGAACAAACACCCTACCACTACTAGGATGATGGAAACGACGAAGTTTCCAAAACGTCAGCAACAAAATGTCGTGGTCCATGGAATCGCTCCTATTTTCTTCTTCGTCTTTTTTGGGGATGATGAACGGGATAATCTGTCTGGACCTCGAATCTTCGCTCATGTATATATGCATTTTTAGACACGGTTGGTGGTGGAACGTCGCATCGGCATCGTCGAGACGAGGCTCCGCCTGGTACGCCGTGGATCAGCCGGTGGGATGGATCTCCGAATTGGCACCGTCGACACGCGCCCATCTGGTGCACCGTAGGAGACCGCAGGCTTGCGGCAATGCCGTAAGCCATTGGCAAATTCGAGTCGTTCTTCCACTGCCAAAAAACTTGTGGCCCACAGTGGAGTTCGGCCGCGCCGGCACATCAAGCAGCCCCTATTCAGGGGTCAGGGCACTGCTTCCTTCGGGGGGGCCTGGAAAAGCTGGCCTAAAAATTGCTGGGGAACCACGTCGTCTGCTGGCGCACCGTGGTCGCAGACGCAAAACTCGCGGTCGAAACAATCAAAATCGAAACAACAACAACAACCATACTCATTCTCCTCATCCTACCTCTTCTTCCTCTACCTCCGTCTATTCTTCTGCCTATACTTCTCCTTCGTCATCTTCTTCTCCACCTCCTTCCCGTCGCCCCACTCGCTTTCCCCAGACTGACAGGGTGAGCCCGCTCACTCTGGCAGCCTGGAATGTTCTTTCCCTTTTAGACAATCCGAGGAGCAACCGACCGGAACGGGGGACGGCGCTAGTGGCACGAGAACTGGCGCGCTACAAGGTGGACATCGCCGCACTCAGCGAGACCCGATTCTCCGAACAAGGCCAACTGGAGGAGGTGGGTGCCGGCTACACCTTCTTCTGGAGTGGTCGACCCAAGGCAGAGCGACGAGACGCGGGCGTCGCCTTCGCCATTCGGAACAACATCGTGGGACGACTGCCCAGTCTACCGCAAGGCATCAATGATCGCCTGATGAGCCTCCGCCTGCCTCTCTGGGGAGGCAAATTCGCCACCATCATCAGCGCCTACGCTCCGACCATGACCAACCCCGACGCCGTCAGAGACAAATTCTACGAGGACCTGCACGCCCTCGTGGCGACTGTGCCGAAGGCGGACAAGTTGATTGTCCTTGGTGACTTCAACGCCCGCGTCGGCACAGACCATACTGCCTGGAGGGGAGTGCTGGGTCCCCACGGTATCGGCGGCTCCAACGACAACGGCCTGCTGCTTCTCCGCACCTGCGCAGAACACCGCCTCATCCTGACGAACACGTTCTTCTGTCTGCTGGAGCGAGAGAAGGCCACCTGGAGGCATCCTCGGTCGCGCCAGTGGCACCTGCTGGACTATGTCCTCGTCCGGAGGCGAGATCAGCGGGATGTGCTGGTGACGAAGGCGATCGCGTGAGCTGATGGGTGGACCGGCCATCGCCCCGTCATCTCGAAGATGCGTATTCGCCTACAGCCTCGCAGGAGACCACAAGGTAAGCGACCCCCAGGTAAGCTGAATGTTGCCTTGTTGTCTTTGCCCGCTCATCATCTTCATTTCAGCAATGAGCTAGCTCAAAGGCTAGACAACCTTCCAATCGCTGACGCCGACGAAGCCGCCGCCACTGCCGAGAACGCCCCCGTGGAGAAACGCTGGTGTCAACTGCGAGACACGGTCCAGTCGACGGCGCTCGCCGTCCTCGGTCGCGCTCCCCGCCAACACCAGGACTGGTTCGACGACAACTACGCCGCCATCAGAAATCTGCTTGCTGAGAAGAACCACCTTCACAAAGCCTACGCAGATCACCACACTGAGGACAACAAAGCTGCCTTCTACCGCAGTCGCCGCCAACTTCAGCAACGACTGCGCGAGATGCAGGACGCCTGAACTGCTCGCAAAGCTGAGGAGATCCAAGGCTACGCGGGCCGGAACGAATGGAAGAACTTCTTCTCCGCGATCAAAGCTGTCTACGGTCCGCCGACGAAGGGCACTGCTCCTCTCCTCAGCGCCGACGGCAGCACTCTCCTGACTGAGAAGACGCAAATCCTGCAGCGATGGGCCGAGCGTTTCCGAGGCGTCCTCAACCGCCCCTCCGTCATCTCCGACACCGTCATCGAGCGTTTGCCGCAAGGGGAGACCAACGTGGACCTCGACCTTCCGCCATCCCTCCAGGAAACCATCAGGGCCGTACAGCAGCTCTCCAGCGGGAAAGCACCCGGATCGGACGTGATCCCTGCTGAGGTCTACAAGCACGGGGGTCCCCTACTAATGGAACACCTGACTGCGCTCTTCCAGGAGATGTGGCGTCAAGGTGAAGTGCCGCAAGACTTCAAAGACGCAACAATCGTGCACCTATACAAACGCAAAGGAAACCGCCAAGTGTGCGACAATCACCGCGGCATCCCCTGCTGAACATCGCTGGGAAGATCTTCGCTCACATCCTTCTCAACCGCCTCAACAACCATCTGGAACAGGGCCTTCTGCCGGAAAGCCAGTGCGGCTTCCGTCGTCATCGTGGGACCACGGATATGATCTTCGCCGCCCGTCAACTTCAGGAGAAGTGCCAGGAGATGCGGACCCACCTGTACTCTACCTTCGTGGACCTGGCGAAAGCCTTTGACACGGTGAATCGTGAAGGACTGCGTAAGATCATGCAGAAATTCGGCTGTCCGGAGCGATTCACTCAGATGGTGCGTCAGCTGCACGACGGTATGATGGCGCGAGCTGTCTCAGAGGCATTCGCAGTGACCAACGGAGTGAAGCAGGGATGCGTGCTGGCGCCTACCCTCTTCAGTCTTATGTTCTCTGCCATGCTGATGGACGCCTACCGCGACGAACGTCCCGGGATCCGCATCGCCTACAGGACGGACGGTCACCTCCTGAATCAACGGCGGATGCACTTCCAATCGCGCGTATCCCCAACCACTGTTCACGAACTCCTCTTCGCCGACGACTGCGCCCTGAACACCACCTCGGACGAGGAGATGCAACGGAGCATGAACCTGTTCTCCGCCGCCTGCGAGAACTTCGGTCTGGTCATCAACACACAGAAGACGGTGGTGATGCACCAACCGCCACCCAACTCAGACACAGCCCCCAACGCGCCGCCGCAAATCAGCGTGAATGGGACCCACCTGCAAGTGGTGGAGAACTTCCCGTACCTGGGCAGTACTCTCTCCCGCAACACCAAGATCGACGACGAAGTCGCCAACAGGATCTCGAAAGCCAGTCAAGCCTTCGATCGCCTCCAAAGCACAGTTTGGAATCGCCACGGTCTTCAACTGAGCACGAAGCTGATGATGTACAAGGCCGTCATCCTGCCGACGCTACTGTATGGAGCGGAGACGTGGACGGTGTACACGAGGCAGGCACGCCGACTGAATCACTTCCACCTCAGTTGTCTCCGTCGCATCCTGAGGCTGAACTGGCAGGATCGCATCCCCGACACTGATGTGCTGGAACGAACGGGAATACTCAGCATCTACTCCATGTTGAGACAAATGCAGCTGCGCTGGAGCGGCCACCTGGTGCGCATGGACGACGAGCGACTACCCAAACGGCTCTTCTACGGAGACGTCGCGACGGGTTCTCGTCGTCAAGGAGGCCCACTTCGTCGAAACAAGGATACCCTGAAGTCCTCCCTGAAGCTACTGCAAATCAACCCGACCAACTGGGAAGAGCTCGCCCGCGATCGTCCGACATGGAGGAGAACAGTGAAGGCGGGCGCTACTATCCACGAAGCCAACCGCATAGCCGCCGCCAAAGCGAAACGCGAAGCCCGCAAATCACAACTTCGCCCAGTACGCAACGCCGCCTCACAACCGCTTCCAACGTGTCCTCGATGTCAACGGGCATTCCGGGCTCGAATCGGACTTGTTGGACATCTTCGGACCAACTGCGCCTCTCGAACTGCACCAACGATCGTCCCCCCGCCCGACTCTTCCTCCCCGCCGCCGCCAACTAACTCTGACAATTCTTCTGAACCACCACTTCCATCCTCCTCCTCCGCCTCCTCCACTGCTCCAACGGCGGCCGCCCAGGCAACTGCCACGCGCGCAACAACCGACGCCACCACCACCACCACCTCCCCCGACTCCAGCGATGAGGATCAGGACTACACCTGCCCTCACTGCGGCTGCACCTTCACCTCACACATCGGCCTGGCCGGTCACTTGCGAATCCATCGCACAGAGACTGGCGAACCAGTGCCTGGAGCACTAACCTACACCCACCGCACTCGCCTTCACTGCCCACACATCCCTCGCACCTTCCGGCATCGCATGGGCCTATTCGGCCACATGCACATCCACGAGAACGGCATTGACCGCACTCCTGACACACCCACCACATCCAACGCATCCACCGTGCAAAACCCCACACCCGCTCCACCCGTCCGCGCCACCACCACCACCACCACCACCACCACCTCCTCTGTAGGTGACACTGCCACCGCCGACTTCTCATGCCCACACTGTCCACGCACATTCACCTCACGCATCGGCCTGGTCGGTCACTTGCGAATCCATCGCACAGAGACTGGATAACCAGTGCCTGGAGCACCAACCTATACTCACAAAGCTCGTCTCAACTGCCCACACTGCCCTCGCACCTTCAGGCGTCGCAAGGGCCTATTCGGCCACATGCGCATCCACGACGACCTGCGGTAGACAACCGGCGGCCAAACCACACATTCACTCACTCCCTACCTCCTCCACCACCACCATCACCCCACCACACATCAACACTCCCATACCTCATGCACCTAACTGTCACCTCCCACGCAAGTGGGAAGTGTGCATCTCGACTCGGTCCTCATGCGGCTTCGGCTGCAGGGGTCACTTGAGTCCGAGACTATCCCGACACATCAAGCGTCGTGGATAGGAAGGTTGTTGATTGACGCCCGCTCTCGGTTCACGCAGTTCGTGGCGTTGTGTGTGTGTTGTGTGTAGTGGCGGACTGGTGGGCTGGGCAGTGGGCTGAAACAGCACCTTCCACGGCCCTCTCACGCAAGTGAGAGACAAGCCGCTCAACCCCCGTTGTGTGAAATCCTGGTGTTGTGTGTATGGGGGGCCAGGTCGTGCTGTGGCGCACGCAGGTATGGTCAGTCGACCGTGTCAGCCACCGCGCCCATTTCCCACTCCAGTCTGCTTACCGGCTTGGACAGCGACTGGGGTGTGGGAGTGGGAAGGAAGAGTGAGGTCGACGACTCAGCGCATTTTCCTTACTATAAACAATCTGACGCGCTTGAAGCTATCATGGTGCGCTAAAAGCCGTGGCTTGGAAGGTTGCCAACTGACGGGGTACCTTGGACCTCCTCCTTCACTGGAGGCGGTCTGAGAGCCAGGCTGCAATGGCTCCTTTTTAATGTGGCCTTTATGGCATTCCCACCACAGCGTGGGATCCGAGCCGGGCGTTGGCGGCACGCCTAGGTGCGGCTTCGGCCGTGCCAGCCTCCAAATCTCTGTTGTGTTGGTTGAAATCCTGGTTATTTGTTGTGTGGACCAGGGATGTGGTGGAACGCTAAGGTGAGGATCCGTCCGAGCCATCCACCTGAGGCCTCCCTCGTCTCCGGTCTTCTTGACTCTGTCTTGACATCGGGCTCAGGCGGGGGAGGAGGAGAGAGTGTAGGTAGATGCAGCGCAAGTCTACTGGCACTATAAACCCCTGCGCAAGTCACCGTCCCTGCTCCCACCTGCTGTGGGGCATACGGTGGACATCATCGAAATCGATGGTCGAAATGTCACGTCAACAGCGCACCACGACGTGAAGAAGGGCAGCATTTACAAGTGTCAATAAGTTTACACGGCAGTCCACGATGAGTGTTTTTATTATCCAGCGTGAGTATCTGACTCGGTTTATCATCTTGAATTCCAGAAGTATAAACCACGAGGATTCTTGTACAACCACTATCGACATATAGGACGACATTTTCAGATAAAACACTCCAGAGTTTGACGACATGTTAGATAATACTCATCCGTATACCTGGTACTCTTTCCAATTTTGGGGAACTTTTGTGAGTGAATATCTTGTTCATGATTTATGTGGAGATAATTCATATTTTTTACCGAATATCACACTGACGATCTTGCATGCACTGAAAATGTCTGCGTTTTGCGAACGCTGCTGTGATATGCTAACTGTGAGTCCGCAGAGCAATAACTCCGAACATAAATTACGAATGGAGCCTATAGGTTTGACCTCCCACTTCTGAACCCTTCAAAAAGCTTCGCTGACGCTGACGGGTTGTTAAAACAACTTCAGTTAGTAGTATTACAAATGTGGCCGAAAGGCAGAAGGTTCTTTTCAGCGGTGCATCCTACTAGCATGTGATGTGATCGCCTACGAGTAATCAAAACCTTTCTCAAATTCATGGTGACAGTCTGTGAGAATTCCTTTGTAGGCACCAGACATGTCGAGGCTAGAACTCCCATGTTAGCAGCTGAATTGCTTAAGTAAATTACAGCGTCACTTGATGGATTAAACGAGCACACTCATATGCCTAACTGCGATATTTGCGAAGAACTGGAGTTTCGGGTGAATCCTACTAGTCAGTCCATTCCAACACTATCTTAAAATCCACGCGACACATAGACAAATTGGGTGACATCGATTCTCGAACGCTTACGTGAGGAGTCGTAGGAATTACAAAACTTTAAATAAATTGGTCGCGTTTTACGATTGAGCAGCAACCGGTAGGTAGATAGAAATTTTTGGCAACCAGAACAGCGGTTGTGTTTTTAAGTGCACCGTCACTAGGTCAAGTCTTATTTGGCAGGATAAGATGGAAACCACCTACATGAGGACTCTATAATGTACAGTACCCCGAAAAGCTGTCTCCGGTGTCAGTGGCAGTTGGCAACGTCAAGGAGAGGACTGCCGGCGACGAGTCATAACCGAAAGAGTGAGTGAGTTTTTCTGGCGTCAGCTGCTTTTACAAATGCATTGCTGCTAGGTCATGATTACTTTCAACCAGTAGTCTGTGTTGTGTTTGCCGAGATGAGGCGCGTTTAAACGGGGTATGGACAGCTGTTACTATCTAGATGCGGGTATGTGCACGTGTTACAATCGGCCAGACTGGACTGAGGTCGGCATACCTGCAACCACCTACAGGAGAGCTGAATAAACTCAACACAGCAGCAAATTATGCGAAGATGCCGAGAAGGACAATGAGGGCTGTCGGCTACACGCAAGCTGCATTGAAGGAAAAACTGATGAAACAGTATCGGCATCATTCTCATACTCTTATTTCATGCTCGAGTCTTCTAGTGTAACGTGGATCCTCTTGAGCCATGGTTGTTATTCAAGAAAGTGAGGCAAGTTGAGTCTTCTCTGTTTATGTCTGTCAATCGAGAAGCACAGACGGTAGCGGAAAGCGTGCCCCATTATGTTCTTTTCGTACAAAGCGGGCTGAATGATTTATATGTAGCAGCCCCACAAATAAAATTCGTTGATCGAAAAGGGTTGAACATGACCTTCCGTCAGATATTTTGAACAAGTGCCACCTTTAGGCTGACGTCAAACATACAGCACATGGAACATTTAAGTTAGAAAGAAGTTTAAAGTGGAACAGAGGTTAAGAATTCGGTTCTGGAGCAAGGCGCAGTTAATGACGCTTAAAGACCGCCGGCTCAAATGTTTCATTTTTAATCTGCGAAGCTGTGCTTCAGTGTCAGACAGACAGGCTGCCACCCCCAGTCTTGTCCGAGGGAAATCTGTGCAAATTGTCCCGAGAGTGTGTCGGCGGCTTCTTCGTCATTATTTTAAAAGGTATCCACCTCATTTTCGTGATACTTTTGCATATTTTTGCTTTTCTTCTGCAGCCTAACGTTGGTTTAGTTGGACATTGGTTGGATTTAATAGTACGCTCATGCAGCGTTTAGCGTTAAGTATTGTGTGCGTCTGCTGTGAAGTGACTTAGCGAACTCTGACCCTCGCAGCCTGGTGTATGCCAACAGCTCTCTGGCATCTGGTTTCCAGCCAGTGGATGCGCTTGTCCTCCCGCTACATATGCAGGTCGCGCGCACAGTTGCGCAGTGACTTATGTCATCCTCCTCTTTCTGACCCATTTTTGTTACTGGTTAAAATCCTGGTCAAGTATTTGTTGTGTACCGGGGGGGGGGGGCCTGGCGGTACACCTAGGTGCGGTTCCGGACGTGTCAGCCACCTGGGCCCTCTTTCACCTTCGGTCTTCTTGGCCATGTCTTGACACCAGGTCAGGTGGAGGGAGGGCGTTACTACCAATATTAACTTGTTCACGCATAATTCAACGTGCCTGCTCACACTTGGCTGTGGAACAAGCGATGGGTATCGTCGGCAGCGACGATTAAACGGTCATTGTGTAGGGTGTAGTACGTACCTCAGTTTTCCTCCTCCAGCGTCTGTGACAACTGCCCTGCAAAGTACGCTTGAAAAATTAATACCGTATTTTGCTTTCCACCGAAATATTCGACCGCATTTTTGGCCAGACGTCCCTGGATGGTTTAACCATAAGTGCGGGCAAATAGGAGTTGACTACCACGATCTAATTTATAAAGGTTTACGTCAATTACTTGTGGGCTAATGTAAGCTTCTGATGGTGACGTACATTCTTCTTGCACCTGATTATTTGTGCTTCGATAAAACTGGACTCGCTTGC